TTTACAGACACACATTTTTAAAAAGCCAATCATAGTGACATAGTGAAATAAAACTTACTGAGGAGTCCAAATTATGTTCAAGGTGGACCACTCTGCTAACTTAAATTTTTATTTTTGCATTATGTTGTCAGGCTTCCAAATAGTACCTGCTATCTTCTGCAGCAAAAGCACCAAAACTTGCAGGTGCAAGAGACTCAGCTGCTTCAGTAGAGGATATCCCAAAATATTTGTCCCAATGAGCAGATGCCTCATCACCTTCAGGCTGCTATGGAAACTTCTCCCACTGCCACAAATGACTTTTCTGAATAACCCAGTAAGTTCTTGTGCTTTGCCAGCTTGACAGGACAGCAGATATGATTTTTTGGGGCATGTAAACTTAATATTTCATATAACCTGTAGAAACCCACAGGTGTCTCTGCATATAAGTTTGCACAAATCTGTTTACCATCAGAGTAAAAAAGCTTGTTAGAATTCTACAAAGATCAATGGATATGATTGGCTTTCAACATACCTAGGCACTTGGCACAAATATGCAGTAGCATAGCCAGGTAGGCCCATATGAATGGTTAAAGGTAGTTAGTCAAAAGGAACGACTGAAATATTTGCTACTTGTGCGGAATTAGTAATGAAAACCATATTTCGCAAAACAGGTATGAAGGTGTAATGAGTCCAATATAAATGGCTCAGTCTCTATGGCCTTACTGACAACAACATTGTTCTCCTCCTTCTATATATTTCTTCTGTACCCAACTCTGTCTCCAGTAAGAAATATTCATAGCCTCCCAAGCCTATGCTTCAGATAGCTCCTATAAATTCACTTTCCTGCAACGACAATAAGCAAGTAAACTAGTCACAGTACATACTATTCCCTACAGCCTTTGTATGTTTTCCTAAGAATTTCCCAGCAGGACAAGATCTTTAACCTCCTTTTTACACTTGCAACAAATTGCTTTTCAGAAAAATCTCTGCCCATTTTGGTTATGGGAAATGTTGATCTCTTGGTAAATCAATCTGCAATGAGCTTTTTTGAAAAGCTAATAGCAAGCTGCCCTGAAAGCCTGGCCAGGGACCCAGAAGAGGTTATAGGGCTCCCAGATTGTACTAACAGGGGTTCAACCAAGTACACATAGCAGTTAGACATAAAACATAGGGGTATCTGTTGATTGCAATCACTTTCAAAAGAAAAAATAAGACATATCGGAGTATGACATATTCATGATGTAGACCATAGGAAAAGGAAACTTTTTTGGCTAAGAATGCCTGGACAACACACCTCTGGGTGTACACCAATATTTTTAGGCATTGAGGGTTTCATGAGTGCTTTGGTTTGGTGGAAAGAGCAATAATAATTTCAATACTGAATATTTTACAAGCCCCTTTGAGCTATGCAAGGGCATTTACAACACTAACATGAAGATTACCATATTAAAGCCAATACTATTCACATCCAATTACACACAGAGGGTGTTATGGCAATGACATTTGTACCTCCTCTTATTTTAAAAATAGGTTTGAGATTTGTATTGCAAAATATAGTCAGAAATATTCTAAAGAGAAAGAAACTTTTACAAAGAATTAATGTTACAAAGTATTTTTCTTCTCACCCTTCTCCAAAATACACTATATATCACTTCATTGCTATTTATCGCTCTACAGATTTTCTGAGAGTTTTATACTCTGATAAATTAGCATATGAACCTTTCAAAACACTAAAATAAGACATCTGTGCATGAGGGGCTGCTTTCCACAATGCTGATATGCAGCATTGATCTCATGAATGTTCTATTAATTAGACAGAACCATGAACATTACACCTAAATTTCTGACTCAGGCTAATATTTAAGTAAACTAGGCATCTAGATTAAATAAGAAAGCAGATGAGCCAAAATCAGTACTCCTATTGCCATTTATATGCCCAAACATACATTAAGTTGTCATGCGTCTCACACAGCAAGTATGATTCACTCAGTACCTATGGAGTATTAGGTATCCAAGATGTCAGACTCCAGAATAGTTAAGAAGCACTACATTTTCCTCAAGTGAATTTATTTTAAAACTACTATCTTTTTTTTTCCTTTTTTTTACACTAAACAAGATTAAATTGACCCAAATAATTTGAATTCTTGATTCAGCCTGAGTCACGTTATGTTGTGCAATATTCTGTTACATGCCATCTGGCATGATTTAACACTGCGTGGTACAACAGAGTGAAATCAATTAAATGTATGCTTCAGATAAATGCTATTAATTTGTAAAGGCATGCCAACAGGTAACAAGTAATGTAGATTGTCAAGAAAATAAAATGAGTTATATCCTACCTCCTCTGCTTCCCAACTACTGTTTGCTCTCTACCTAAGAAACTGGCAATCTGACAAAAAATTTATTAGGTACTAGGAAGTTCTGTACCAGCACTGTGTGTGGAATGTGCTCTGAAGCACCTTCTGCTTATGAAGTCTTAGATGTGTTTATAGCATGTAACAAAATAAGTGCACAATATTAATCAACAGCAATCTGAAATATGAAAATCCTACTTCAATCTGTTATAATTTCTGAAAACATTTAATTAATGCTAGTTATAAATAGTAAAATACACACCTAGCTAACAAACTTCTAATCAACATCTAGTTAGCAGATAGGAACAGGAGTCACTTATCTCAGTGTGCTAATTTTCAACACACTTATGTGTTTTGTTTTTTTTTTAAAGTCCCTAGAAGTGTTGCAAGTCCACTCAGGGGTATGCAAAACACATTAAGAAGAGACAAGATCTCATCAGTTCTATGTTTTGACTGAGTATCAAAATGTTGCATGCACAAGCTCACCTAAAAACCTTTCAAAATTGCTAGGAACATTTATGTATAAGCCTTATATGCCACAAGAGCAACGCATATTACAACTATATCTATAAGCAAAGCCCGGCATGCCTCTTGCAGATGTGAAGCAGTACGAACAAAAGCAGCTTCCTGTGCACATTTTATATTAAACACCAAGAATTTGAAAGAAAATCTATAAATCAAAAGTGTACAGTCTCTACAATTTTAGCTGTACCAGGTGTCAAAATCATAAGAAGTTAAAATTAATTCCAACATCTTGTTGTTTATCATGATAGAGAAATAGTAAAATGATTCTTCCCCCTTCTTCATTCTACTGAAATTACTTATATCACCTTGTCGAGATGTGGTCAAGTCCCAAATTCTAGTTTTTAGGCTTTTCTGATGTTTAGAACTTTGTTCATAAAAGCCTTTTCCATAGCCAATATTTTCTGTTCTCGTTACGCTATCAGCGTGACCCAATGCTCACCACAACTCTATCACCTTTAGAATGCAAGTAGGAGGTGTGCAATTTTTCTCATCTCATTATTTTTACTAGCAATGCCTATTTCTCAAGGAATCATTCTTTCCTCTTTGAACTTCCCTGACGAAGTCAGCCTCTGCAATGTTGTCTGCTCCTCCAACAAGTGGTCCTGTAAGCTTATACAGGCAGTTACCATTTCCTTCTTCAGAAGCCTTCTGAAAAATGCCCCTCCAATGTGTCAAGAATAAACATGTCAACATTCGATAGCTAGGGGGAGATATAACTGGGAAGAAGGTTTATATTAGTTTGTCTCAATATCAAAGACTATAGAGAACAAAAATAAATGTGTATAACTATAAACGTTCAGAATACTGAAACTATTTTAGGAACAAATCTGATAAAAGCTATTTGATCATGGAGTCCAGTTCTCTGCTATCACAGGAAGAGGTGTGACAGAATAATAATAGTAACAACCTGTGAAGCTCTTTTGAGGCTATTACTATCTCTGAAAGCCAGAACATCCTTCTGCAGCATACTTCGTGTTGCTTAACTTATTCGGCTGCAAGCTCCTTGCTTCAGAGAGTCGTTTGACACCACTGGAACTAGTTACAGGACTTCTTCCTATAGTCCTCCTTAGTTTGGGGAAATTCACATACACGCTTACATTTGCACAGACCAAACACACTGGAACAATGTTCCTAACGGTGGGCAGGCTGTCAAGGCTACAATACAACTATACGTAACTACCTTGTCTCTGAATATTAATAATTTATCAGAAGATACAATATGAACTCCATGTACAACAATACTTGTCAAAATTCATTTTTCATAATAGAAAAGAGGTAAAAAAGTAAGTTTTATTCTAGAAGTTTAATTCACATTATATAGCTCTTATTAAAACTAAAAATTTATTCAGAGTAATTAACATAATTATCCTATTTACAACTGAATTAAAAACCTGAAAACCAAACCAGGAACATTTACAACCAAGTAGCAGACTAAAAATAGAAGGGTTAAAAAATTTAGATATAATACTTCTTTAAAAATAATTTTTGTAAATATTTTTGTCTCCTGGTACTACATTGGTAGTATCTATCCATGACAACATATCTAAGAATAAACTGGCATCCTAATGCTAAGCATGAACGCATTTTAATATTAACATCTGTTTGACTTGCTTCCAAATCAAAAACAATTTTAACATTAGGAAGTTTCAGTGAAAATAAATTTAGCAGGTCAAAACAAATTTTTCTAACTTTTGTATCACTACATTCTCATTAGAAAATTAAGACTGACTATAGGTAAGCAATTTAAAGTAGCATCTAAAACTTACAGCACCACTGATCCCCTTAAAGACTTGCATTGTCTGAACTATTAATCTGTTAGTCATAAACACAGGAAATGGTCACAGAGATTATGGCAAAATGTATACTGTACACTTCTCCATTCCCAACTCCAAATGAAATTTTTTATTAATTTGTTAATATAGAAGAGACATTTGTAACCTTTAACAGAAGAGAAAAAAAGAACTTATTTTATTTTAGAATTTAACAAAATCCTCATATTTCCAAAAAGCGGCTCTTTCTGAAATCATGCATTACTGAGAGAGACATCTTTAACACAAAACAATTCACAAGAGAAAAAACAAAAGTCACTCTGTTCTCATTTGCTATCCATCAATCCTGCTTGAAATATGGATGAACTCAGAACTAAATCCTATTTTTTTTCTTACAAACACGGAGTAAAAGATTTTTTGATGTCCTTGATTTAACACCCAATGCTACGTTTCCTTCAGAAAGGCTTCTAACTAGGTTTCCTGGTACATCCTGTGCTTGCTTCCAGCTCCTCGTTTTAATTCCTAGTGAAGAAAGAAATGTCATTACAAATAGGAGACATTAATTCAATAAACATAAGCAGAATTTGGCCTACCTGGATATCCTTTTCAGAGCATGTCTAAGGATTTTTACACACATTTCTTGTCCTTATTGAAAGCCTAATTTTGATGTGCAAAAATCGTAATCACTCTCAGCTCAGTAATCCCATGTGCTAATTGCCTAGAAAGTCTAATGATTAGACCCTCAATTGACAGGAGATGCTATTAAAAAGGCACAGTGGTCTAGATAAAAATGTAGAAATTTGTGAAAATTTTAGTAATCCTTGTTATTATAGAACAGTATTGAAAAATAATCACTATGTCATTAGAGAAAGTTTTGTCTATTTAATCCGAAAGCAGCTCTTTCTCTTAGGGATTCAGTCAAATTTAATTCTTGTCTTGTAATGCATGCTTTTCAAACCAAAATGTATTTTACATTCAGTTAAACTTTGAAGAATCAAAAATATATTCTTTATTTCAGAATGTGGTGCTTCATTACATAGTTTCTTCATAATACCACAGCAGTGATTGATTTTGGTAACTTCATAACCCAGTCTTTAGTAGTAGAAATCAATACTGATGTAACTGTGTATGCACATTGCTAAATAAGTAACTACTGGTTAGACATAACATTTAGCCTCAGATTTGCACTTTTCAGAATGTTTGTTGTAATAGAACCTCAACATTTCTCAAGAATGTAGAATAATACATATTTATATGTACTTGTTCCCTTACATCAGTTCTTAGATAAAAACACATGTGCTGTAAAACTGGTGTATTGCCTATGCCATTGGGAAAATCTACACAATTAGACTATTTCATAAGAACAGTAGACTAAAACTGTAAACAATCTTTGATTTCCTCTAAACTGCCCAAGAAGTTGCACTAGGAAAGATCATCAACTGTATTCCTGAAGACAGAGAGGAAAAGCAGACAAGCATGTAGATAGAAAAGGAAAATTGTAAGGATTTAGTGCAATAAAATCTACTGCAGGTGCCAAGCAACTTAGTGCCATGCACTAGGAAAGGCAGAGGTTTTTGGAAAGTTGTGAACAAAAGACCTTTGTACACATCTACTGAAAAAATTATTTGTTACTGATTTTGTAACAGTAAACATTTATATACCTTGGACAGAAGCCATGTAATTGCAGCAGACTTTCACAGAATACCACCTGATAGTATTATTATCAGCAATCTGTTAGAAGCAAAGTCATTCCTAAATATTGCTTTATAATAATTTTTCCTCAGCTATTGTGTTGGATTAAAATAGCTCCAAAGTTTAACTAATAAATCTCTGAAAAAACACACATCTGTAAAACCAAATCAGTGCAGTGTTATAAAACAAAACAAGCAGTTAAAAACAGGTACGGAAATTATCAGAGGATTTTATTTCTTGATAAACCACATGTGGCAAAGATAAAATTGGTAAAGTTGCCCAAATTTCTCAACAAGTACACAAACAGTTTTTGGTGGAAGACCTTGACTCTTAGGAAAAGGTTTTCCCAAGAAGCTTGTAGTAATATTGAGCTTTGATTGGATCTCATCTAGATAACTGGTTAGATAATCAGGTATATTTTTTTTAATGAATGGATATATTATTCAAACCAATGGCTCAAGCATACTGATCACTGCAACACATGCTATTAAATTGACAAAACCTTAAGTATCAACCTTCGTTTTGGACCTCCTGTACAAACACAGTTAAAGTATCATACATTCAAGTTTTGACACTTACCTGCCATTTTGGGTACTTGCAAAGCTCTATGGCTTAACAAGACCTCTTGTCGAATGCGTTTTGCAGAAACAGGGTCTTGTAGGCTGCCTAACCCAGTGTTTGATGTAGAATTGGAAAAAGAGCTGGAAAAGAGTATGCTTTCAGTAAAGTGATTAAGCTACTTTACAGTAGTTTAGACCTTGCAATACAGAAATACATGAAATGATATTACCCAGTATTGGTAGTTCATAACAGAATGCAAAGAATAAACTAATTTATTTATGATGTACATATATGGACGTTATTCCCCTTTTTCCTTTTTAAAAATTTACAAGACTATTTCAACTGTGAAAATACGAACTAATATTGCCACTTATGTTAAAAAGCAGATCAATATGCCACAGTTTTTTTGGAAACCACAGAAGGCAGTTTTATGGTCACCACATACAAATTATACTAAGAAATAATCTTAACGCATGTATCAAATCCTTGAAATGACCAAGCTGTGTTTATTGAACAAATCATATTTTTTATTGCTACAATAATTTTTCTACAGCCTCCAAGACAGTCGGAGGGGATGGCTTCATAGCAGACAATACTTTGTAGCTAAGCAGCAAGAAAGCTGTTATAGCTTCAAATTCATTAAGTCAAAATCTCTGTATTTTATAGCCTTTTACGTGATGGTCTTAAGATCTACAGTGGAAATCATGAACCTATTTGATCTCACCCTTTTACACTTGCCTCAGTAACTTCCCTGGTTCCACTCTCTAAGACAGCCTCATAAACAAGCTAATTCTGTTTACGTCCCAAGTTTTGTATGCTTTACCATTCCTTTAATGATACTGAATTATTACCACTTTATGGTTCCCTAACTTACACTAGTTTTCTTAATAATAATTTTCTGCCTACATGAAGATATATAGCAAGCAGTAAAGACTAAGACCTGCATTGTGCCAGTCCTAGGATCTATTCATGCACACTTCTTTGAAGAGAACTTAGGCCAATAAGAATGTAATGCTATTTAGTAAAAGCAGCCTCTGTATTATGACTTGTGTCTTATCCCTTGTCCTAGCAATACAACTGTTTCAAATTATATTTCTAATGTAGAGAATACGTCTGAAATTTATACTTTTATTCTAATGTCAGCAGGAGATGAACGACTGAACTACTTCAAGCAGGAAAAGCATGGGAGAGAAAAAGGGGAAAAAGTAAAGAAGAGAAAAGAAAGCAGGTGCTATCTGAAAAGTAAGAGCATATTCCTTTCCTCCTTCACAAATAAGAACCTTTCATTCCTTCTGTTAATCACCAACTGCTAGACAAAATCATAAAGAATTTTGGTTTACAGACAGTTTACAATGTAAGGCAGAAGAAATAATCCCCAAAGAAGGAATAAGAGTTGTGGGATTTTCCTATAGTGTTAGTCTAACTTGGAAACTGGGAAATAGATGTTTAAAACATAAGGAATGAGATAAAAGAGCTATTCTTTTGGTAAAAGATAAGCATACATAAGTTTGGAAATCATTACACAGTTATTACAGAAAAAGTACTCCTAAAGTCTGTCTTAGAACATTTACCTTAAGATAAGATAAATCATGCTTCAAAAGTTCCCATATCTCTCCCTAAAGAGCATCTAGAAAACTAGCTCAGTTTCAGAAAGCAGGTGATTTATTTTGCTAAATTCATAATCAACTATTTGAAAAATTGAAAATGTGAATGTGCCTCTTTTTTCATTCTAAAGCCATCCTAGCAAAATAGTTTAGAATAATACCAATTATAACAGGAACATGAAATTGGATCAGGGAAATCTGTGATCCTCTAGGACGATTTTCTATCTCAAAGATGCTAATAAACCAAATAATTGCTTAAGTTTCTTTCACATTCTGTCATCTGTCTATAGAACTTGTTCCAACAGTCTTGAAACATTCTTTAGAAGACCTATGAGGTGCCAGCTCTACTCACCGTCTAGCAATAGGTGACTCATATAATTTTAAAAAAAAAGATTGTACCAGTTTTTGCGGAGGGGACAAGAAGGGGAAAAAAAAAAAAAAAAAAGCTGTTTCATTAATACTGACCTGATAGCTAATTCTTAAACACATTAACAAAAACAAACAAAAAAGTAGAATTCCACTTAGCATCCATTCAGTTTCAGCTTTTCTGCTGCTCCTAACAAGCCTCTTTCAGGGTCATAAAACAGAAGTGACAAAATGGGAGTTCTTCCCAGAGCAGACCACAAGAATGAAGTCATAATAACTGAGACTGGAAATGAATTATCAGAAAAACAAAGGCTCTGGCCACATAAGCATTGTTAAGCATTTTCTTTGCTTTCTATTTTGGTAGTTTCTAATGTGTTCCAGCAAAGACATAACATTTTCAAACAAATTAGATTTTTTAAATTGATGATGGAATTTCTCTTTTCAGAATTATGTGTCATCTTTCTATTTTAAGTAGACAGCAGATACAGGAGACACGATATTAGTTTGTACTTATTAAAACAACAGAAGTTCCTAAACCAAGAGTAAAAAAACCATTCTACTCAACTTGCCAGGAAAAAAAAAATAAAATTGAATTGTCAAACATATTTAAGTCAGAACATCTTATATGTAGGTGTAGATGACTTAAAGAGGTTTTCAGATTTGAAATATAATACCAAAACTGAAGTGAGAACATAAGAAATTAATACAAACTCATTTGTATAGAAGAGTGGGTTTAATCTTACCTTAATACCTTTCTTTTTCTCTCAGCAGCAGAAGTCATTGCCATATATGAGGGCTTCTCAAGTACTGAAGTAGGATTTTGGTCTTTTAGGGAAGAGAGATCAAGTCTGAAATGAAAGAATTATATTTTTGTAAAATCTATTCTGGTCCAGTGAAATTTTTCTTAGCAGTAAATAAATATATGTTAAGTTGAAAAACAATACCAGGAATTTGGTTCAATAATATTGCTTGAGGCAGCTTTTCAGGACTTCACACATATATGGCAGCTTTAACAAGAGCATCTCTCAATGTCAAAGAGGTTAAAGTACCCATTTTACAGACAGGAAAAGTAAGGCTTAGAGAAAGTAACTTGCCTGAGGCATCAAAACAATTTCAGAAATGCTGTATTTTCTTTTCTGCAGATAACTTGTAAAACAGGATAAGCTTTCAACTTAATCAGTTGTCACTAACACACCACTGATTTCAAATAATAGCATGACGCTGATCAAAATTGAGGGTTTGATTTTCAAAATGTTGGGTTTACAAATAAAACTGACATCAATGGAAAAATGCAGCTGTAAAGATAAACTGGATTAAATTGTTTGGGCAATATTCATTGCCCATATAAATGCAAAATACCTTTGCAGAATGCTGTTGCTGCACGGCTGTGACTGCTTCATGGATGAGACAGCAGACATTTCAGTTGTTTCACCTGTCCCTTCATAGAGAATTACTGTTGAGTTCATGTCAGCTTCATCGCACTCTGGGATTATATCACATGTAGAGTCCATAATATTCGCCTTTTTCACTGGCATATCCATATTACATGCATTGGCTTCCTGAAGGCCTGCAAGGTGTAAAGCTTTCTTTACCACAGTCTGCGTATAGCTGCTTTGTGCTGGCTTTCTGCAAAATTCTGGTGTATACACAATAGGGTGGACCTCCCTGGTAAGAGAATCCTCCAGATGAAGAGTAGAGCGCTTGGATGCAGCAGGACTTTGAGCGGTGACTGGAGAGTCCATTAGCTTCCGCCTAGTTCTTTTCTGTGGTGGTACTGCATATTCTACTATTTGTTGTGTATTTTTATTCATTTCTTGTGACGGTGTACCAAAAGTTGTACCTGTGCAACATAGGCAACAATAGTTAGCACGTTTACCTATATTTACTACTTAAATCTTGCTTTTTCCCTCCTCTTCCCTGCTGAAATATGTTTATTAGCAGAAATATTACAAATACTAATTATTTCATTTACATATTAATTTGATTATATAACTGAAAGTATTTATATTGCAGCATTGTCCAGATGGTAGTATTTGTTCTGTGGCACTCAAAGTATTATAAATATGCATAGGCTGATATAGTTAATCCCGGACATATTACAAGTAATCACAAGTAAGACATGACACATGACAACAGGGAATGGAAGAGTAAAATTATTGAAAATAATCGCATTATCATGACACAATTCTTAATTTAAGATTGTACTGTCAAAGTAATCTACAGTTGCCTCCTGATCACAGTCATCACATACACTAAATTGTAAAGAGAGCTCCTGCTTTTTAATGTGCTGCAAGTTACTCGGGAATTAACTATAGTATTCATGTAACAGTGTTGATAAATATTTATTTCTTCTAAAATTCCATTTTCTTTTTGCCTCAGAGTAAGAAAGTTAGTTTGAACTCCTCAGTCTGCATGCTTCTTTAGTTCTCTCTCATGGGTTAAATACCTACAGCATTTTTGCTGTTCAATAAAAATTCTTTGAAGAGGAGTAAAATTGATCAAATACATACACATATTGCATTATTCCATACCCCCTCCCAGTTTGATTTCTTACAAAAAGCAAAGCTTAAATGATTGTAGTCTTCCCTCTGACAGTTCATCACTTCTCAGCCCCCATTTAATTTTGACCTCATTGCCCAGTTGCAACCCAACTTGCCACAGGCAAGAAGCTTTAAGAATGCCAATTCTCCAGTTACCGCCAGAAATCAGATGTCTTGGGGAAAAGGCCCAAATAACAGCCTCATTGAAGAAAAGCTGTCAAAGGATGAAAGACAGACAATCTCAGCACTATTTTTTTGTACACATTTTGGGACTCGACATACCATATGATGGATGCCTTATGCCCAGCTACACAAGATGATGCCCAATTAGAAGATATAAATTAGAGCGGTGAGGAGACAGGAAGATTTAAAGACCACCATGAGACCTAGACCTGTTCTGGAAGGATGGAATGGGTAGTACCAAGGTGTGTACAAGTAGCAAGTAAATTAGATGCTAATGTATAGGCCACAAATCTATTCTATGTTGCCAGAACTTAGCTCAATAATGAAACCATTGAAAAAACAAAGCAAACACTTATTCCGCAATCAAGGGCTCAGTTTCAGAAAAAAACAATGTTTAAACTCTTACAGTTCAATAAATATGCAACATCTTATCCAACAATGCATAAACAATAAAAGCAGGTTAATTTAAGATAAACTGCCTATGGGAAAATATGCTTAGACAATATCATGAACAATTACAATTCTATTATGCTGTTTTCAGCTTTGAAGAAACACAAGCACAGTAAACTCAGGCCTGAAATGACTAAATGACTACTTGACATGAAATAACTGAATTTGTGTATGTGTCTGTGCCCATGTACAGTTCAGTTTGCTATATATATGTAAATTTTTTTTTTGTTAAAATGAAAAATATATTATTTTCTCATACCTAATCTTAGTCTAATTCATGGTCAGCATTTACCAGGTGAAGTGCAGCAGGTTGTTGAGACACAGTAGTTTGATTGTAATCTAAACATTAAGGTAATTCAGACTATTCTCCATAAGCAGTGAAATGGAAAAGGTAGTGAAACAGGGCCTGTGTTCCCCAATTTTTACCTCCACCAGAAATAATATAGGCCTATTTCAATAACGACATTTTTCTCCAAGACTTTAAGATTTTGTTGGTAACAAGCAAAAAACTTATTTATGAACCATTTTCAATATGTACTCTGTGACACTATCAACAATGAGCTTGCTCTTTAATTTTGGTTTAATGAGTACAATATTATTCTTCTATGTAAAAGACCAACATTTCTTTCTTTCAAGAAAAAAAAATTCCTAGTGATCACAACCAAAAATTGAGGCCAAAACTTTCTTTTAAAGACTTCTTTGAGAGCTTATATTCTTGAATACAAGAATAAGCTTTATCTAAGGATTCCAATCTAGTGTTTGAAATAATTATCCATTAAACATTTCTGGACACATTTTAAAATATTAATTTATTACGTTTTCCTCTTGCTTATATCCATCTGAAAGTGTGTGTTTCGGGAAAAAGAATGGTTAGAAATCTATTTGCCTGCTGTTACATTAGAATAGGGAGGTTCCAGTTTCAGAAAGTTTGCTTACTGTAAGACACTGAGGTTTTGCTAATGTCCTAAAGTTACTAGGAAGGAAGTCTGATGGAGAAACATTTTGGTGAGAGTGCCAAGTTTTAGAAGCTTCTTCAGGAATAAATACTGGAAGCATTTTTAAATTAACTGTAAATGCAAGCATTTAAACTATGAACTAAATAGGTAAAGAATACAAAAGTATTGCCAACATTAATAATTTGTTGAATTTCAACATAATGAACAGTATTTCATACTGTAATACAAGTATATAAATAAAAAGACAGTTGCAGCAATTCTATATAGGGCAAATATAAGCCATTAGTAAAAAGCCAGACCTATTTTAAAAATCTATTTATTTCTGGAATGAAACTCATTGTAATATGAAATTAAAACAAAACTAGCTTTTCTTGCCAGTTAAGTATTGGAAAGTATATGAAATATTCAAGAAGTAGTCCCTTCTCATAGTTTTTTGTGAAAGCATTTAGTTGCTCCTAACACAGTAAAGAAGTAAACAAAAACATCACCAGCAACATATTTAACTTGGTTTCTCTAAATAACATAAACCAAATATGATGTGACAAATAAAAACCAACCCCAACACCCCAATTCCATGTTACTTTGCCATTATACCATATACAGCTCCAAACAGTTATGATGTAAAGTAAGCATAAATACAGAAAGAAAAACATTTAAATGCACAAAATAAAGGAATGCCAGTGGTTTTATTCCTGTCTTAATAGGAAGCAAGATACTGAAGCCAGTTGCTAATTTTTTGCAGGTGTTTTTAATAGCTGCCATTGAGAAGTTTAAATAAAATGGGCTGAGACAACAGCTGCTACAAAACCACTACTCCTATGGATTTCAGATGACTTCAAATGGTCATGATATCAATTGTTTCTCCTTAAAAAAAAAAAAAAAAAAATTTTTTTTTTGAGAACCTATTTTGAAATACTTCCAAGGCTACTCAACATTATTTAAAACATTGATATTCACAGGCATACTTCAAGATTTATATATATAAAAATTCTTATTGAAAGAGAAAATTTAGTATCACAAGCTGACACAAAAGTAATATGCCTCAAGCTGAAACACCATACCTTGTCTTTCCTAAATACTAAATTCATACATTTTTAGCATAATTTCATCTAAACAAGCACTGAATATTTCAGCAAACAATTTTAGAAACTGTGGTCATCTGTCACTACGTGGCTTACATTGCAACGGGACAGCTAAAACTAGGGAGAACTAGTTCCCCTATATCCTATTCAAGAAGGGAAAAAGAAAAAGTCCCAGAACAAAGGACATTTGTTCTGGATTAAAACATTTAAGTGGCAAATATGAATGTGCAGTATTAAAGCAAGGCAGAAGAGACATTCATTTCATTTCATAGCAGGTCATGCCTACTAAAATCAAAGTATTTGTATGACAATTTTAGGCAATGCTTTCTCCCAGGATACTCAGTTTTAACATGACATTGTAGGTAGGATGTATGTATGTTGTGTTTTTAGCACATGTTTTACCCTATTGCCTAAATATTCCAATGAGTAAACACAGAAAATCGAGACAACAGTACATTCCTAGTTAGGAACAACCGTGATAACATATAATACACTAATAAGATATCACAGATGAGGTTAATAAGGAATTATCTTATTTCTTGCAATAACAAACAGTAGATACCCCATTCATATCACGTATACTAATTTTAACACTAAGAGCAATACTTACCTCCCACAGAACAATTATACTGTTGAATTTGCTGCAGCATGCTGTGGCAAATCCCCTAAGTATAAATGGGTTACAAAATACAGATTTGACAAACTTAGAAGATATATACTGGCAATTTTTACATGTGATGTGTTCAATGGGATTTCCCATTGCATTGGAACTGGAAACTGCAAGTCAGCTGACTCTAGATTTGTCCTGTTATCACTGTCTGTCTTAGGAGCGTGTTACTGGCAACTACTAAATACAGAGTACTGAAGACGACATAGTGGTGGACCAAGTATGGCTATTCATATTTCCTTAAAGAACAAATCTAAATAGTTCGTGAATGGATGTCTAATGCTAATCATTAAGTCTTATCATTACTTTTCTACTGAAAGACAAAACACATTCCAACTCTAAAGAAAACCTCCAAACCTAATAAGGTTTGGAGGCAAGGAAAGGCAAGGAAATAATAATGGCAAGGAAATTACAATGTTTATGGTTTGTATTTGCTTCACATTTTATGGCCAGTTCAATCTTTTGCATCAGAATGATCATCATGATTCAGTCATATTAAGTTTACTTTTTATTTCATATACAAAAATGAATCACTACATACTTTTCAGAAACATTTGCAGTTAACCCAATGGAGTTGCTTAAAAGAAAAATGTAGAAGCCGTATTTCCTGAGCTAGTAGCTTTCAGCTGCAATGCTTCTCTTTAAAAATAAGCATTATTCCAAATATATTTTAAAGAATAGATGACATATTTGCTAATCTTTAATTTCAGGCCTATGATTATGAAATATTACTGTCAGAATTCTTTTAGATATGATTTTTCTGAAGAGATTCACTTCAGATGAAAAGTCATCTACCACTGACCAACCACCCTCCAACAAACCATATGAGGTGGTTTTGGTCATTAGTTTGTTGCATTATTTGTCCCAAAAGATGATTTGGAACTAATTTATCAGGAGAGAAACATAATATTAGATATTTACAGCCCTGTGAGTTAATACGAAAAGCAGAATGCAGTATTTGT